TTATAATATAAGTATATTGATCTTTGACACAAGTAATACGGATACTTGTAAACTGCTTCATTTACAAATATAAAGTTAAGGTTTTATCTCTTAAGGTAATTGATATGACACATCATAATTATTTTCATTTAAAGGATATTAAAGAGATTTGAATCCGTGTTCTTTTAACCATTTAAGTCAACCTCAAAGAACTAATTTTTCAGAGAATTCTTCAAATCAGGGTGCAGAGTCGCCTTCATACTCCATCGATGACTTGACTTGAGGAAGAAATATAAGAACAAACCTGTGTTAAACGTGCCTCTGTATTATTTGCATTCCTTTGTAGTTTCTCTGAAGAATCCATCAGGGAGGCAACAACAGAATTTGCTCACAAACTTGGAGATGGGAAAGTTGATCTGCACCGAAATAAGTGAAGGAGATGGTTTGGATCTCACTGGTTTTCTCGTGGCACTCGTTATAGCTCTCATCCTCCTGACCATATGTGCAACTCCTCCACGGCGAGGCAGGATCATAGCTTATCGTATTGCATGAGAAGGTTTGTCAATTTCTAGTTTTAGCTGTTTTCCATAGTTTTGTTTAGATTCAACTGGGGATTGCTTCCTCTGGCTCCTGCTGAGCTTGGCATGGGATAGCTTAGGTCTTGCTCATCTTCATCCTGCAGTTGACAATAGTGCCAGTTATACAAGATATAGTCATTGTTATTCTTCGATTGCAATTTAAGTTGTCTCAGAGATTAAAAACGTGTAGAAATTTTAGTTCCTAAGATGTAATAGAGGAATAAATTACCAGTTCTAAGCCAGCTCTTTCGATAGACAAAAGGCCAATAAAAGCATCAAATTACAACTTTAAAGTTAAAACATAGTTCAAAAATGCAAACAAGATGATGTTTCTCATAAATGTTTCTATCAGTGCAGCACAATGGTCTAGAATTTAGTATTTGAACTTGTGAGCCTCCATCAAAACTGAGATGATAGCATTGCAACACTCAATAAACACATACCCCTTTCTGAGATTTTGTCAGCTGAATTAGCTATCATTTTGCACCATAGAAGTGGCAACACAGGAGATGCCTGGATAAGTTATGTATTTTTGTTAACTGAGCTGCTGGTTGGACTCTCAAACTATGTGAAACTTTCTTCTTTCTCTTGTTCCTTTTATCTATCTTACTGTTATGTGTAACTGTCTTACCATCCTGTAGCAAACATGTAAAGTTATATTAAACAGTTAGATTATATATAGAGATTATGTTTGAGCAGCTTGGTAGAGATTAGTAAGAAATAGAGGTATTTTAAATTTGGTAATGATATTCTTGCAATTAGTTTTCAAGTATTTCACAAAAGCATAAATAATTTTCTGAAGCATGGTTCCAAAGAGTAGTTTGAACTTGGGACTTGAACTTGCACTAACTGTTCTAAATCTACAAATCCTACACAATCACGATAATTCTACAAACATTATCATCATCCCAAAAAAATTTCTACAGACATTATAAAAATGAAATTCTGATTAATCATACAGTTGACATCCAGTTAAGAAAAGCGCAAGAAATAATGACAACTAACAAGGTTTTGAGTTTTAATATGAAGTTGATTCACCCACAATCTTATCTCAGAATGAAGTCTCACAATAAGATACCCGGCATTAAATCCAATTCACATACCTCACCAAGTAAAG